TGTATGCTTTGCATGATGATCGTCCTGAGCGCATCGGCTTTATCCTGATTCTGTTTGCTGATTGCAGGGTCTTGGGTGGGTGTCGGTGCTGCTTCTAGGAGCGGTTCTGCCTCTATGGTACGCGCGTAAATGTGCAGTGCGTCGTGCCAGAATGTGTAGTTCGATTTTGCCAGTGCGGGTAGCGCGGGTTGCTGTGTTTATGAGTTCATGGTGTTGTGTTTTTGCGGTTGTGTTTCGTGCTTTTCTGCCTCTGCTATCCGTGCTAGTGCGTAGAGTTCGTGCGTGAGTTGCTCTTGCTCCCGGGCGCGGTTACGTCTGGTCCCCTTTTGATCGCGGTCTCTCGGTTTTGTCGTGGTGGCTGGTGGTGGTCGGTCTGGTGGTGAAGTTCAGTGGTCGTAGTGGCCCATAACCTGTGAACCAAGAGATCCGGATTCCGGAGTCCCCCTGACCGCGGGGGCCGCTGGCGCCGGTATATTTACTGACTCTATGTCCTATCCTTTGTCTGTAAATAAGGCTGTGCCTTATTTGCGTGCTCGTGTGGAATCACAGTGCGACGGGGAAGGGTGGCCGTTTCTCAGTTTCGTGCACTGTATACTGAGCGTCCAGAGGGCTGCCGGCACTTTCGTCGATAACTTCCCACCCACCAACTCGCCTCGGCCACAATTTGCCCTTGTCCTTTCCAACCAACCTCGCCTCACTCTCCGTCTCGAGACGGCTTCCCCCTGCCGCTGTGCGCGATACGCGCGTTGTGTACTACAGTACTACAGTACTACAGTACAGTACTGTAACTGCTATTTTCTCCTGCGCGTCCCACACCTCCTTGTCCATGGGACGGAGAGCAAGAGTAAAGCACGTGGTCGAAAACAGTGGCGGCAGCAATATCACTGTGAGGTACCAGGCGACTTTCGTAAAGTCGTTTAAAACCTCTTAAAAGGACACATGAATGGCAAGTCTGCGTGTATCCCTCACACGTCTTGTGCAGAGGCATCCTGTCAAAAGAAAGAAACTTTCCTGAGCTCCCCTTCACGTTCATGCGTCTGTGTTTCTGTCTTCCCACTTCGCGCCTCTGTCGAAGGGCAGTCTGGTGAAAAATGACGTCATCTAACCGACTGGTCAAGCAAAATGGAGCACGTATCGCCCTACATACTGTAGTGATGACCTGTTCAAGCCGTGACAGTGGCCAGTGGATGCAAAAAGTAGAAATATTTCTACCCGTGGAAGTAGAATGCAATGTGCACGTACTTTGGTACCGAAAGAGGTGCGCGGAGATTTGTAGAAAAGTGCGATTATGAAACGCAACGAGTCGAATGCTTCTCCATTCATCGCACCACGTCCCCGTATGCAAGAACATCCTCCGTTAAGCAAGTATCTGATAATTGCTGAAGCCCTTGCTCACCCACTGTTCAGCTCAATATTGTGTGGCATGAAGGAGAGAAATACGTTTTGTAAGCAGTGTAGTACGCCTTGAAGGAATGGACTCTTTCGCTACAGTACACTCTAGTTCTTCAGACACCAGGCGTCACCTTCGGAGACATGACGTCGTCGAAGCGGAACAAGATCAAGAAGCCAACATCTACGCGACGGATATCGTACTCCGTATGTCCGAGAGCTAGTACCAATCAAATGAGCGTTGCGAAGCTCAAGCACATGAACAGATCGCAACGTTGCGAGATCGGGCTCAAAACAAAGAGCTTTTAAATTCTCGTCGCAATGTCGTTCCCCAACGCATCATGCGCTACTGTAGTGAGTCTGACAGAATTGAGAATCCACGTGTCGATTCTTCGCTCTTGCTGAGAGAATGTGCCCAGGCTCCCTAGCACTAAAGGGGGGGTGCTGAAGACGTCGGACAAAAACCTCAATATTAAAAGGAAAAAGTACCTCTAATTGTCAAACAATCACCGTTTTTTATGTTTTGCGACGGGGACACTGTCAGCCCGTCTTCCAGTGGGACTTGGCCAAAACAACCACGGACACACAAGAGGAGTGAGATTGAAGCACGCGGACACTTTTGCGCCCCAACCGAGCACAAAGATCGGAAATGCAAGCACATTTTCCTCATACAACATTATTTTTTGGAAACAAAATTATTCGCCACGTCACCGATCCCACATCAAACCCGTACCTTTGCTCAAACATGCCGCCCATTTCGAAACGTCTTCTGCTTCGTCATAATTACCATACGACGTGCGATGGCTCTCCGCTCTCGAAGCGACCTCACTCGCTTCTTAAACACCCCAATTGCCATGCCAGCAAGTTCCGCTCGCTTCGCCCATCGCGCATTACGAAAGTTTACTGCTTCCGCCTGTGCCTTTTCTGTGCGACGAGCTTTCCGCAAAGACAGTTCTGCAGCCTTTGCTGCTTCCGTCAGCTTGCGCCGCTCATCATTGCGGTATTTCTCTCTCGCTAAATTCATAGCATTAAATGATGTCAGCATCTGACCTCTAGTCGTATCAACAAAACCACT